GGACTGTGCGACAGGTGGCTGCTGATGAGCCGCAGGTTGCTGGAAACCTGACTGGCCAGGCATGATCGGTGCCTGATGGGAAAGCATGGGCTGCTGCGACTGAGCTGCATTCATCATTCCCGTGGAAGCCATCTGTGGCGACTGCAAGGGCTGTGATACGGACGGTGTCGAATCCAGTTGACCAGGCTGTGACTGCGCCGCAGAAACAGGCACCTCCCGTTGCTTGGCGTAAAAGTCGTCCAAACCCTTCTGGCGATAACTCCGTTGTGACGTTAGGATTTTGTTAAACTCGGCCGTGTGTGAAGCCTGGTTGAGGATTTCAGCGGCCGAGCTGGGTTGAATGCGATCCTGGAAAGGCTGTCCCGTCAATTCCTGGCGCGGGCGAGGCATGCTGTTATACTCCCGCAGCCGGGGATCATCGGTGGTGGTGGCCATGTGGATCATAGGGAGTGGCGGCGCAAGAGAAACCGAGGACGGCGGACCAAGAGGCAGACTACCTGGCACAGATTCCAGCGCATTGCTGTAGATGACATCGCCATGAGTGAGGGTGGGTAGAAAGTTGGCTGCGCCCGCAGCTTCTGCTGCCGCCGCATCCCGGGCTTTCGCGCCGCCGGGTCGTTTCTCACCAGCCAAATCATCCTCCGTGAATCCTTGTTTCCGTGCTTTGCTTTCCCAGTAGTCGTCGCGGACGCGCCGCCCATTGACAATGACGCGGCTGCCGAACTGACGGAACATCGACTTGGCCGTCACGATAGCAATCTGGCGCGAACGATACGAGTAAGGTAGAATATCCTGCTGGATGAGATCATCCTTCTCGATCTGACTGGCGATGATCTTGTGCAGCGAACGGTTCTTGTTGAACAAGAGATACGAGTCGCGATAACCCAGCACCCTTGCGCATTCGGTCGCAAGCATGAAAAGCTTGTTCCCACGCAGAGGAACGCGGAACGTGCGACACTTGTACTCTCGGCCTCCTTGAGGGTAGCCCATGGCATCCACCTTCTTTTCACCTGCCTCGTCGAATTCCTTGGGAATGTATTCGTCGCCCTCTTCGTTCAGCTGGTCGGTCGTATGATCCCGGACGGTAGGCAGGGCCTTGACGAGCGTAGACTTGGTCGGCGTAGTCTTATCCGGCGGAGAAGCCTGTGGCGGCGATACATTGACGGCAGCTTGCGCCGGCAGAGGCTGAGTCTGCAACCGGGGCGTCTGAAGGTGAACATTGGAGGAAGTCTGATCGTTGGGGGTTGTCGCAGACGGACGCGGAGTCTTGGGAGGACGGCCTCGTTTCCGACGGCCCTGTTCATCTATTGTTTTGACCGAAGTGGTCCACGCGTCAGCCATCTTGATCGCCAGGCGACGTTATACATGCACGTGGACGGAAGGATAGGAAAAAGCAAAAGCGCGACATTCAGATAGCAGCAACAATAACAACGCGCGAGGGGAACACGAATGCCAAGAAACTCCCATGCTTCCGGAATTCCACGAAGCGAATCGTAAGAGGACTCCGACGCACACATACCGTCGTCATGGTCTCCATCCGCGCGTGCATTCCCGCGCTGGTCTGGGGTTCGACTTCGCTTCACACCACGAGGAGCTATACTCGTTGGGGTCGCAATGCCACCATATGTTGTTGGGGTTGGAAGCACTACGCCGACTAGTAGAAAGCCGTCAGTTCGGAGGCTGTCACGATGGACAAGCAAGAGTGATAGAGAAGTATTTTTGAGCCTCCATGAGCGGCGACAGACAAGCCCACCGTCAAAAGCGCGGCAGCGAATAAGAAACTTGATGTGGGAAAGGGAAAGTAAAAAGGAATGAGAGGAACGAAACAAGGGGGCGGGGGAGGTGTAGTGGAATGGAAATGAACACAAAGACAAGCGAGCGGGGACACAAGCAGGCGAACAGACGAAAAGCTGAAGGAAGAAGAAAGCATCAGTCACATACCATTATTCAGGGCAGCGGGATTGATCGTCCCCGACCCATCAACGAGCTCCCCTCCGATGCCATTCATCGGAGCGGGAACAGAGGATTGAGGAGTGCTGTACATGGCGGGCCAAGGAAGGACGGGAAAGAGGGTGGTGTGGCGTGGTGGGTGGTGGTGATGGAGGGCACCGTCGCAAGGTTGCGGGCGCGTTAGAGACACGCGAAGAAGATCAGGATGCCAAACCGGGAGGGGGGAAGAAGATGGCGACCTGGTTGGCTACTGCGATGAAGGAGGGCGAAGCTGCGACGATGCAAGTGATCCTCGGACAGATAAAAAACGGACGGACCACGGCTCGCATGCAGTGGGAATTTGACTGGTAGGTGGCAGGAAGCGGATCAGCGGAAAGGTTTGAGCAAATCGGTGCTTTGCAGACTGGGGTGGTGATGGTTTGGGGGGAAGCGAAGTTCAGATCATGAAGGCGGTGAAGGGGGATAGTAAAATGAATGAGAACGACAAGCAGGCAGGCAGGCAGACAACAGACACGCAGCGCACGGTCGGTAAAAAGAGGAACAAATCTAGATAAAGCCAGAGCAGGGAAGTGATAGAAGGGATAGAAGGGAACAACAAACACCGTCACAGAGTAGAACAAGGTACAAGACAATAAGCTGCAGAGAAAGCACAGTGTTGATGGGTGTATGGGTATGGGTGTATGGGAGAGAGAGTGAATGTGGCTGGTGAGGGAAGGGAAAGCTAGTATTGCCAGGACCACCGACGGCGCCACATGAGGCTGTGAACTCCTCCTCCTCTTCTCTGGTCCCCTTCACGATCGATCGATCGGGTTATCCCAAGGTTTCCCTGTCTGCAGAAAAGCAGCGTCACCCACTAAAAAGAACTAGCAGCGGGCGGTTACTATGCCGGAGACAGGGAGATGGGCAGTGGATGATTCACAGCGTGCCGCCGATGGAACCGATCAGTGGGGACCGTTGACGGGGGGAGTTAAGCTATGTGTGACCGGCCGCCTGTGAGTCTGTGGTGTGTGCGTGGGTAATGAAGTGGTGTGTGTATGTGAGTAGTATGTGAGTGTAAGTTGGGAGAGGGGGCGGGTTGTGCGTGCGTGCGTGTGCCAGACCCGGTCGCAGTTGTCGATTGGGTTAGAACCACGACGGACAGGACAGGGCAGAGCAGTGGGGTGGGGAAGAAAGTTGGAGACTCGACTGGGAAGGGGGAAATGGAGGGGAAGGAGGGAGGGGGAGAGGCGCACCAGGAAAATTAGAAAGCAGTAACAAGAGATGGAGAGTATGGATAGGATGGGATGATGATGATTGATGATTGATGATGATGAAAGGAAAAGTGAAAGAAGGATTTAGTTCGAGAAGGGGAGGGGGTGGAGAGTGTAGGAGTGGGTGTAGGAAAGGGAAAGGTGGGTGGAGGAGGGAGGATTTGGTGAAAGGAACGGGAGACTTGGATTCGAAGAGAAGAAACACAAGAACAAGAAAAGCGAAGGAAAAAGGGAGGGGGGGAACAGCGCCAGGCAATAATCCCGGAGTGGAAACACCGGGCGATAGGAAATCCAAAACTGGGGAGGGGAAATGAAGGCGGGAGGCGGCGCCACAGCCCTCCTGATTGGCTGTTGCTGCTCGGGTCACGATATGTTCCCAGTCCAAATCGGGGATCGTCGCCGCAACACCACCGAAACACAACAGATAGTTGCAGATTCGCAGTGGATGAAGAAAAGACCACAATAAATCGCAACAACAACAAATAAGAATCCAAAGAGAAAGAGATCAACGAAAAGGAAAAAAAAAAAAAAAAAACAATAGCAGAAAAAAGAAGCGCAAAACCCCAAAGATCTAATCACTTACAGGATTCTTCACGAACCTTCGACACAGCAGCAACGACGATCAATACGCCGTCGTCCTCAGACCGACTCACTCACTGACCTCCCGAGTCCAGGCTCGATTTCGTTAGCTGAACCCAGATACTACTACTTCTGCTGCTGCTTTGCGATGCGGCCGGCATGTGGATAGTGGATGGCCGGGTAGCGCGGACGCACGTCCGGAGGACCAAGCAACTTAGTCGGAAGATAGTCCAGGCGACACTGGACTGGACCCCTGCACGTCTGGCGCCCCGATCCTCCGATTTGGTGGCAGCTCGGCAGCTGCAGTGTTGCTGAAATTTAAAAATAAGAAAAAGGCAACAAAAACAAGAAAGACCAAGAAAAAGAGCCTTCAGACTCGCGGAAAATACTCGCGACGAAGACGAATCGGAGTGGACTGAGAAGCGGCCCGCGTACGCAACTGCAGCAAAAGAGAAGGCAGAGTGCTGCTGCTGCTGCTGCTGCTGCTGCTGATAACGGGACTGTGTACACGGTAAAACAGATCGCGATCGATTGCGCGGTTAAGCCTGGGATGATGGAATCCCGACCGGGGAATGTCCTATCACAACTTCAGGTAATAAGTTCCTCCAATGAGACAATGTTTGTCTGTGGAATCAATCACCGGCAAAACTGAAACGGCAGGGGAATGTTACGGAGCGCCCTGCGTAGAGTGAGGAATTCCTGATATTAGTCCAGCTCAGGCAGCCTAAAACCCCACCCAAAAAAGCAATATATCTCAACCACAATAATCTCAATCAACAACCAACAATAATTGTCTCGCTGGCTGGAACTGAGAACCAGGGCGGGGCAATCCTTGGATCGAGAGCCGGAGACAGCCGCCGCTGGGGCCGAGAGCAAAAAGCGATAGTAAAGTAAATACGGAAAAAGGTGGTCAGCCTCGGTGATAGGGTTCCGCAATCCGAACTCAACCTCCCTGTAATCTGTATGTCCGCCTGGTTCGATCTAAATTCTTCTGGACTGGACTGGACTGGACCGGCGTGTGCACACTGCACAGCAACAGACCATACACGAGGCGCGATAGCAAGGGCAGCGCTGAATTGAAATTAACTATCAAGCTGCTTTCCGGGGATGGCGGGAAGTGGTTGGCCCTGGATTGATTGGCCGGACTTTAAAGAAGCTGGAATAAAAGCACATGAAAATTACCCGAATAGGCTGGTCTTCCTAGTGGGTTGTCGGGAGTAGATGCGCGGCGGATACGCGGTGCCAAACCTGGCAACGAGAGCGACAGACAGACAGACAGACAGAACTGAAGAAGGCTGCGCGGCGTGGACGAATCATCCAGCACACCGGGCCAACTGCTATCGTCAGGGCTGCCAATCGTCAGCGACAGCGCCGGATGGTGAAGGATTTCAGTCCTGCTCTTTGGTCAGTTCCAGGCCAACTAGTACTAGCTTTCTCGACTGCTGCACGTTTTGTTCCGAGGTTAGACGGGAGTTCAAGCCTTTGTCTGGCTGTCTGCAAGAAGACCAACCCCGTCGACTACCACGCAACTCCTTTGGACTTACTAAAAAGACAACTGGATCGCCCGGAAGATCCCCTCCCCGGTCAAAGAAGGCAGAACCCTGCGGGGAACACCTATCTAATCCTTGGAGTGGCTTGATGGATGAGGATGATGGAGGGGGCCGAAATTCGGAGGGAATGACTCGTCAGATGGAGGGGGGTGCGAGCGTGCTTGAGCGCGCGAGGTGAAGAAACGGGCAGGAGAGGGGCAGAAGAAAAGAGAGAAGAGCAGCAAAAGGAATCTGTTGTGTATATGTATATACCTACTTGGGGTTGGTACTTACTAGGCTTTCTGGATGAGGGATGAGGAAGATCCACCGGGTCAGACAGTCATTTACTCAGTCTCTCTCTCCCAGACCTGCCCTGAATTACATACAGACAACGTTGGAGCCGGAGTGCCGATGGACGGATGAATTTCCTGCAGCATACACAGTGGTATCTATCTAGTATCTAGACCTTCTACCCAGGCCGATGAGATCTCTTCCCAAGACTATTCCGGCAGCTCTACGATACTGACTCGAAGGGAGAGAAACAGGCAGAGTTTCCTGATTGGGGCAGGGTCTCTGATGGCATCTGGCGCCATTCCCGTTCAGGACCAATCACCAGACAGGCGCTTCTCCTCGCTTTTGATTGCCTCGAGCCAAAGTCTGTCCGGTCCCGTCAGGTATTGTCACTGCCTGGTATCTGGCCCGGTGACGAATCATTTCATGCTCATGGCTGTTGAGGTACCTTCGAATGACTCCCCCAGATGAATGGAGACTTGGTCATATTCCTGTGGCGATCAAACTGTGGAATATCTCATTCCTACAGAAAACATTGATGGTGTTTTCCCTCCCAGATACCAGTGAGTGTTGATGCATACTCCCGTCTGCACGAAGTAAGCGCAATGCCTCCCCGGATGAAACCCCCAACGAGGCAGCCATCGAACTAACTCCCAACCGCAAAACAAGAAACAGCCTCAGAGGTAGGGGAGTCCCTGTCTGCAATCACTGTTATATTTAGGCTTTGTGCAACCGGACGAAAGCTTTTTTCACTAGAAAGCTCCATGTTGAGTTCGTCTGTCTGGGAAACGACTGGCCAGAGAGCTCGAGCACACCCAGCGCCAGTAAGCAAGCAGTGGAGATAGTAGGGCGCCCTTGTTGCTGTTGTGTCCAGGAACTCCTGCGTGATCATCAGCAGAACGAGGCAACAAACTGGTATACTTTCTGTTTATCTTTTTTGACTCATTCGGTAGGGTTACGCCAGTCATGCAGAATGCAATCGGAACAATCCCAGGCCGGAGTCCAGTCATCTCCGACCACAACGGTTACATTTGATAATGCCCATTGACCGAGGGCTTGTAGCCGACCATGGATCGACTCCAGGAATTCAGTCCTTCCCGTGCTGCGACTGCTGAGACTGAACGGTCATTGCTCAGGAACTGTCATCATTCCTGTGGCTTCGAGTGTTTGATCCTTGGGACTTCAGCGCCAAAGGGGGCACGAGGCACGGAGAGTGGTGGAGGGGGAAAGCAGAGGGCAGATGACCCAGTCGGACTGGAAGGTCACGAGCGCGGGCGCTAGGGTCGATCAGGGACCGTGCGTCATGCCGACCGTAACTTTACCGTTCAGTCACTTTGGTATCTTCTCTTGCCTTCCGGGGCCAACCTTCATCCATACTTACTCTAGGGCCAGATGCATCATATCGCATAGGATGGCAACATAAATTACTTGCTATCAGTAGATATGGATCGATTCGATGCATGCAACATACAAAGCACATATCAACAAAGTTTGAGACTAACCAAAACATCTCCATCTCCATCCCCACCCCTACCGAGGCCCTCTCTCACTCGCTCACAAATCGATTCCTCAGAAGTGGCAAAAAGTACGTACTCTATCCCCCGTAAACAGCAATAGATAACCTAGAAAGAATAACTGACTCGACTCAGAGCAACCCAACCACCACAAACCCCAGATCTCCTACCCATGACCAACACATCGGGAACCATGCATAGCCGTCCAGTCCAAACCTCAATCCTCACGAACGACCATCTTTTAATTATTATCTGCAGCCAGCATCTGTTATTATCAAGTTGCTGCTGTTACTATTGCTCGCCCTGCTATCTGCCATAGGAATCAACCAACACACACGGGTCGGCTCAATTCAAGCTTTCCCGTTTGCATGCAGCGTCACCTTCGTCGCTTCGCACTAACAAGGACCGGAGACATGTAGGGGAATCAACGTACACTAGTAGTTGAGTAGTAACGTTCAAATCAAGAACGGACAGACCAGGCTGCATTACGCCAAGCCCGGCCAAGTCCCTCCAGACAAGGAATTGGCCTTCTGCATGTCATCAGCAGGACACTTTGCCATAGCTCCACTTGCAGATGCTAGCCTTCGAGTAGGAGATAGTGGTATACCTTACGGTATATTCTGTGTGTATTGGATGCGACAGTAGATAGCAATATCTTCATGGCCATAGTTATCTAGCCTAATAATCTATTCAAAATGTGCTATTATCACTGACTGAATAGCATGTAGAGTATACTAATCAACGAACCGGCTGACTTTAATCCGGTTACACACATGCTCATCCCATCCTAACACAGAATATACTACCGTCTATCTACTACTCGTACCACACAATGCTTACCATTACACAAAGTCTTCCACAATGCAGCACAGCATAGCACAGCATAGCCCCCGTTCTTTATACCTCAGTCACTAGACGAGTTACACAAGTCTCATAAAAGGACTCTGATACATTCTAGATTCAGTGCTTAAAAATACTAGCAGACTCAACTTGAACCTTCATGGATTTTATATATTCTTCTACTACTCGGGTTAAATCGAATGTGCTATGGATTCAATATCCCACACTGATTCAAACAATATGATATACATAGCAGAAGAAAATATAACAAGAAAAGCCATAGTCATGAAGAGTAATAGCCTCGAATGATAGTAAGTCCTACCGAATACTAAACCGGTAGCCGGGGTGATGTAGTGATGCTCATTCTATCTGACACCGAAGAAGAATTCTAAAGGTAGGAGGACCCAGTCATATCTATCATAAAAGCAAAGAAGTGGACGTAGATTATGCGCCCACTCTCTTCAAGACTATATCAGAGCAGGGGTGAATTGGGTATATTCAATAACAGACAGAATTCAAGAGATATTATATAAAGCATACAGTTCTTATCCATATCTAACCCCACCACTATTTCCGTATTGAATTCGATAGAAGATTTCAGCGAGCTTTGGGGGGGATTATTCTTTCATATGGAGCCTATTTATCTATATGCGCAGTGACGCTGCACACTGAATTGTGACGTTTATGTAATAATTTATATCATAAAATAACTATTACCTATATCTCAATCATTAAGCTCTGCATAATCAACAGTACCATTGTAGTCTTGACTGATGTAAAATACAACTCTCACTCAATCATTCAAACAGACACTAAATTCATAGGACTAGTCGTGATATAATCTCCACCAAGATGATTTCGAGTTCACCTCGCTGTGAGAGGAAGAGGAGGAAGATTCAACGGTGATGCGGATGCTTCCCGTTAGAGAAGTGGATCTCTCGTAGCGGTCGAGATGATTTTCGATGTTGCCATGATGCTGAGCCATCGAGTCAGATGGAGGTGGAGATGGAGATAGAGAGGGGTAGAAGTGGGTGCTGGGTTCTTGTCGGATTGGTGGTGATGAGGAAGGAGATGCCGGTGATGGGGACATTTTATTCATCAATTCGGCTATGGTCAATATAAGTGGTTTCTGTAGGTGCCACTGTATGTGGCATATTGTATGATAATTAAAGGTATATGATAATGAGTGTAAAGGGATGCTTGAGATATGTATACTTATGGAGTACTCTGTGGCAAGTAGCAGCAACGTTCAACTTACGTTGAATGAGGTGGAGGCCAGGTTTAAGAAGTAGTTATATAGGGAGAACCAAGGGTAGGAAGGCACTGTTTGCCACTCTACTAGTAATAATTGTTCAAAGCAACATTATTACCTACGTGTAGTATATACGTATTCAAGTAGCTATTTAGCTATCTTGCTATTTAATTATATCGTTATTGATCTATAGAGGTAGTATGTATTATCCTGTGCATGTGGGCATCCCATCATATTGGTAGCTAGATCATGACTGAAGGAACTGTTCCCAAGTCACTGTGGCTCTAGCTGCTGTTGATAGTCCTCATTGAGACTGACACTCCCAGCTACGAGCTTTGCTAAACATGTTATCTATGAAGGCATATCGTGTGGTGCTGATTTATGAGACGTTCTCAAGGGTCAGAGAGCTGCTATAGCTCGAGCTATACAAAGTGATTCATGCAATGGCGGGGATATATAGGCCATCATCCAGTGAATTGTGAAAGGCCTGATTTCTTTGCTATTCAAAAGTGCATAGTAAGTACGAGACCATCAGGAATATCATGATTGTCCTTCTACTGAGTTTAGTCAAAAGTCGGTCGTTGTAGCACCGTAAGGCCCAATTTATCTTATATCCACGGCGTGGAAGTGATAAGTTTACTATCAACGATATAGATCATGCAAATGAGTTTCAGTAGCTATTACGGTGTCTAATTCAAGTGGCCTAGAGAAAGGTTGGGAAAATCCCCTCGCGCTGGTGGCTATAGTTCTCCGTTCTGTGGCAGAAACGCATCACAGGCATATATGCGCAGGAAGGCATTTGCCTACAAGTTAGTCCACAATGTGTGGTTGTCGTGTAATAGCTGCTTCAGTACACCTACATCGGGCCATTGGCATAACGTTGTCTTCTTTCCCTGCTGGGCAATATTCAAGAAATCAGGACAGTTGTCACATCTTGATGATAGGGCATGAAAGAATGCAGGGATGAAATGCCATATTTGTCCGCGGGAGTGTCCGATGACCTGAGGTATGTGCATTCTCAACCTACTCGGCATACCAGACTCTATGAAACTGAAAGAGCTAGCGAAAGAAACTGACATGTAAGGAAAGCAATCTATCGCAAATCACTGTGAGTTCTCGGGCGTGGCTGAGCGAAGCAAATCTAACTGACCGGCCAAGCTCGTAGATCAATCATGCCATATGGCGTGATGTCAAAATGGACGGCAGTACTGCACTGCAATCTACCCGGCGTCCAAAGCGAAGGTAGCTCGTACCTCTGAGCTAAGCGGTCACATACAGACAGACAAACCACCCGTCCTATTTGCACGTAAAACTAGGCTTCAAAACGCATCTAATCATGTTAGCCAGGCTGTTGAAGGCAAGGACGCCACGTAATGTCGCTGTTGTTCGCAGACCACGCACACCGACAAGGGTGAATTTCTCCGCGCATGCTGACAAGTACACCGTTTAAAGCAAGACTGACATTCCAATGAGAACACCTTTATCGTGCCATTCGAAGGGTAGTCTTATCAGTGTCGGGAAAAGACCATCTGGTGTTAATTGAACCAATTTGCAGAGGGTACCGCCTTATGGCACCTTGGCGACATGAGCGTAGATTCACTGATATTATGCCCTGCACCAAGCATGGTCTCCCGATGCCTGCCCTCTTAGCTACATTTTCCACCAATGCTCACCAGCTCAACTAGGCCAAGATCTAGATGCTGGATGCTGCATATCAGACAAGCAATATTGGGTCTGAAAGTATGACAACATAGCGCACATTGCTAATCTAGCCAGACCACTGCGTCAACCAGCACTTTAGCTCTGCATTCATCGACCGGTCTGCAGCAATTGAAGTCATGAGTCAATATGAAACCACCGAACGGTACGTAGGCTGAATCCCACGTCAGAATATCCACACCAACAGCGTATACACTAAATCCGTTGTGCTTTGTTAGCAGAAATGGTATTCGGCTAGCAATCTTCATCGCGAAGGATCTTTCACTGGGCAATGAAGCTCTCAGATAAGCCCACCATGACCTCAGCACATGTCGTGGTTCGACACAAACATCATGACGAAGACCACTTGTTTCGGAGAGGCGAATTGACGAAGCACCACCGATGAATGACACAATCATCTCACGATCGACGCTATTGATGCAGGACCAATAGAATCACCACGAAGTACCCCGTAGCAGCCCCGTTATCAGGAGAGCTTAACTGAACGACATCCGTCATCACCCACGAGAATTTCCCGGGGTCAAGTGGCGGGAACAAACGGGACGTACCCATCCGGCCCTCACTCGATAGAATGACATTGATGGGAGTGCACTGGCCAACCCTCGGCTATCATGATACCTTGACTCGTCTCTCGCGAAGAGGGTTCCCCCGGTTTCGGGACTATGAGTCACTGGCCTTGTGTTGTCGGGGAAGTCAGTCCCGAAGCTATTTACCCCAGATGGAGAAGAGCTGGAGGATGGCCGTTGCAGTTCCGAATCTTCTCCGTATCTACCGAGGTCGGCGGCGGCTAATCAGCAGACCCTCCTGGACACCCGACTATTGATAGATCAACTCCCACTATGGAAGGGCAGCGCGCACAGTCGCAGGCTATCACGTCCGCTAGACGACCCACGGCGGGGCAAAAGTACGGAGAGCAGCGAGCGAGGCAGTGGTAGAAAGGGAAATAGAGCAGAGATAAGCTCAAGCTGTACCAGAGGGTCATTGTGTCATGTCAAGTCAATGGAGAGGACCTCCACAATGAACAATGGATGAAGTCATGAAGGTGATTGTGCCAGGGAAACCAACTGGAGGCGCGAGTCTTGACATCATGGCCGGCGGTGGTCTGGCGGGTTCTCGGCCTTGGAAGGGAAACAGCTTAGTCAGGGCGCGAGGTTGATAGTTCAGCCGCTACACCAGACCGAGCCAAGTTTGATTAGTTTGATTAGTCTGATTTTGTTAGTTTAGTTTCAAGGTGAACTCTTCCTGTTTCCCCGTCCCTCGGGTGACTAACGGAAATAATTTTGCCGTCCCCTCGGTTGCTCAAGAGAAAGAAGGGGAGAACAGTAGATCCGTCGGTGAGAGACGGGGAAGAGTGGGAGAGGGGGGGAACAGCCTTAGACTAGAAGGTCGCCAGATGAATCTGAAACCAACGCGTGTCCAGCTGATCACGCCTTAATAGATTGACGGTTTATTGCTTACGAAGGAATGGATTAATTACTCCGGGCTCCAATCCCCCATACTAAAGGAGGTGATCATGTGCGTTTCCGACTCCACGGTCCACAGCCCTCAAATCCACTTAATCCGGCCTAGTGTTTCCCCTGCAACCCTAACTGCCCAAACCCACACTAATCCCCAATCTGGTCAAGTGTTACTGTGTATAGCATGCGCACTAGTCCCAGATAGTCCACAACCCCGCAAGTCATGGCCAATCAGAGTAACAGGCCCTGTCCATCCCTTACCGTTCCTACTGGTAGGGTGTTCGTCTCCAGATTTCTGGAGCTGCACATGGCTTGGTCGCGTTTGCAATAAACCGTATTGCATCCATCCGACAAAAACTGTGATATGAAGAGAGATCTTGGGGTTGGTTGTGGTTCGTTCGGGGAGCAAGAAGTGTGGTGGTAGCGAGTTGTAGAAGAACAAGGACTGAACTCTGTTTGCGACAAAGGGAGTTACTGGCCGCGAATGGCAAGAAAACGGAGGGCATTTCCCAGGAATCGTGAGGGCAGCCAGACTGGGCGGACGACCCCCGGCGTCGAACATTCCACGGATTGCCGTCAGACCCGGACCCACTGGAAAGGTCAGCTGCCCGACCAGTTTTGCCAGTGGAGTCGAGTCGAGGCCCTTTTCTTTTTTAAAATTTCTGTCCTGCTCGCTGCTCTTTCTCCCTGGTAACGTCTGGGGAGGGGCTTACTGTACACTCTGGCTGACTGACTGACTGGACTGGCGGGACCGGAGTCTTTCCTCTCATTCCCTTTCGGTCACATACCAGAATCTTCTTTTACCTATCATACGCAGATTCCCCCCTCCTCCCCGGAAAGGTTAAAATATGATTGATGTAGAGTGGAAACAAAGTTAAGCGATACATAATAAAAATGAAAAGTCATCCCATCATAGAATCATCACGAGATGGTTGACTACGAAAGAGAAAGAACATGAGAGGGACAGCGTGGGCGGCCACGGTGGACTGACTAACTGACTGACCGATACAGGCAGTACACCATACAGTATACGCTATACAGTAGTAAACTAAATCGTGGTACGAGTCTAGACCCGGGGATCAACCGCTTGCAGAATCTGCCAGATCAGATGGTCACCAGGACGGCTTTCTCTTTTGGGTGTTCCGTCGGTCACGATCCAGCCAAACCCAACCTTTCCAACTCTTCACTCTCTTTCCCCCTTAAGCCTTTTTTCTCCCCTCCACTCGTTTCTTCTTATTCTCCTCTTCTCCTCTTCCTCTTCCCCTCCAGATTCTTATTTCCCCAAACCTTCACCCCCTCCCTCCACCACTGGGCAGTCGCTCCCACTTCTTCTCCAGCTGACTGCCTATTACTATTTACTGCGCCGTATATCTATCACCACCACTCCCATCCATCCAGTCATCCTATAAGCAATTGCTCCAATCCAATTGACTTGACTCATCACCACACTACACCCATTCATACCACATCAGTAGCAATTAGACTACTAGACTGTCATCACAATGGCCGTCACCGCCATCGATATCATGCCCAAAAAGCCCTCCTCATCTCCTCTCTCCTCCAACAACCCCTCCATGAATAAGCGCTTGCCCCCTCTGGCCGACAGGACCTCTCTCTCCTACAAACTCACCACCCTGTCCCGTCAGAAACTCGCCCGGGAGGCCACCGCCCCCGACCCGGACATTCGTCGCTGCCTTGGTCACTTCCGTCTGCACTGTATGTCCATGGAATGGACTCAGAAGGACATGTCGACGCGCATCAACTCGTTCGACCTGGAGGACGACGAGTCCGAGAGTGAGGAGGAGGACCGCGACGATGAAGACAAGAAGGGTCCCGAGGACCGCAAGGATGAGGACCAGGACCGCCAGTCCTCTCACAAGAACAACGAGTCGGCTGAGAAGACCTCGGAGCCTGAGAAGACTACCGTCCAGGTTACCTTCCATGTGTCTGCTCCTGCATCAGCCCCTCAAACATCTACCGACAAAGAAGAGAAGGAGGAGAGCCTCCTCGAGAAGGGTCGCAACTGTCTTGAGAAGACCGTCCAGAGGAAAAACTTCTGGCCTTCTCCGGGCCAGTGCCTGCCTGTGCGCATTGCTGGCTAAATGTCGCTATGATGCGACATATTTCATTCTACCTATCGACATTCTCATCTCCTCGCCACATCCCATCTCACTCTTACAACTCATTTCTTCACCACCTACCACCAACACCACCACACCGAAACACATAATTCTAATAATCCTCTCTCACGATGTCAACGAAATTACGAATCTCTTACCGTCTTAATCTCATTCGCTCATACATACTTGGCGGAGTCAACAAGCGACTCACTGATTGGTTTTACTTTGCTAGCTTGGAGTTGGTGCGAAGGTTAATTAGTATTACTATCATCATCATAACATCATCATCGGAGTTCAACCATGTTAGAAGGATTAAGGAAAGGGAAAGCAAAAAGGAAAGGAACCTTGGAACGGATAACCAACATGTATTTAGTCAAAAGCACAATAAAACCAAAACCTACCATCATATCATATCATTATCTCTATGTCTAAATCTATAGTAATATGTAAGGAAATACATAACCACGTATATACCTCGATCACCCAATGCAACCAAGTAATTACAATCTTCATTCTGCAGACCCAAACCGATCAAAAGTAATTAATCCCAAGCAACTAACCCAGCCAATACTGTAAGTAAATACATAGTAGATAGTTAGTAGTAGTGTATACTAACCCTGCAGGGGTGTATCCCTGCACCTGCATTTGCATCAGCAGCAGCAGCATTAATACCCTACCTTACTTCCCTGTCTGTCTACCTTACCGTCTCGCACTAATTAATCTATCTATCTATCTATAAACAAGTAATTAACCAGTCACGATCCCAGAAACTATCACATATCATGATTACACCCATGTGATTACTATCTATCAGGCACATACATACTTACTATACAGTAATCCTGATACCCAACCATACATACACACACGAAGAAAAAAGAGAAGGGAAAGAAATGTGGCAACGGGTGTATGGGTCCCCAGGTCGCCAGGTCGTACGTATTTTTGGTTCTTACCAGTATGGGACCTGGTTGTTACTAGTACCGACTATCAGAAAAATTAAGCTGTAAAAATACACTGTCTCACCAGGTAGTAAACCTGGCAAGGTCTTGTATTTTTAGAAATTTTGATTGATTCTTCCTAGAAGGTCTGGTAATTACTAATTAAGATTAAAAAAACCTAACCTGGGGAGGTTTGGTTATAGATTACTGTATATATATCAGATTTTATTTATTCCATTTCTATTTTTATATATTAACAATAGTTTTGTATTATAAGTTTATTTTAGAATTACTGATAATATTCTAGATATTATCAGTT